CCCCAAAACCCCAAAACCCCAAAACCCCAAAACCCCAAAACCCCAAAACCCCAAAACCCCGTTTAAAAAAATATGAGTTGAGTTTTATATTAAAATCAAAAAGATGTCCAAAGAACAGGAAGGTCCACCCAAAAATGAGGTTAGAGTAAAGATGAACACCAGAGTTGCTAGTTACCTTAGGTATGTCTATCACACTCTCGAGAAGGACGAGGAGCACTACCAATCTGTTGTTCTAAAGGCTGCAGGAAGAGCTATCTCAAGACTTGTCCCACTCGTCGAGTTAATCAAGAGAAGAATCAAGGGATTGTGCCAAGACAGTAAGATCTCAAACCTCACCGTGACTGACACTGACAGGAACGGAGAAAACATTGAGAGAAGAATTGTCATGCTCGAGATTACTCTTTCTAAGGAACCTCTTGATAAGGAGTCCAAAGGATACCAAGATCCAATCGATCAGACCTTAGTTGAAGAGTACAAGGAAGTCTTAGAGGTACATGACCAAGACCAAACAAGAGGATATGAAGGAAGAGGTGGATATAGAGGTGGATCTAGAGGTGGACCTAGAGGTGGACCTAGAGGCGGATTCAGAGGCCATAGAGGCGTCAGAGGAGCCCCAAGAGGATTCAGAGGAGCCCCCAGAGGATTCAGAGGTGGATTTAGAGGTATGAGAGGTGGCCCAAGAGGAGCTCCAAGAGGCTTCAGAGGCGGATTCAGAGGTGAAAGAGGATTTAGAGGAGGATTCAGAGGTGAAAGAGGTTTCAGAGGAGGCTTCAGAGGTGAGAGAGGTTTCAGAGGTGGATTCAGAGGTGAGAGAGGATTCAGAGGATTCCGAGGAGGATTCAGAGGCGAGAGAGGATTCAGAGGGTTCAGAGGTGGATTCAGAGGAACCAGAAGAGATTATAACGAAGAATACTAAAATGAATCAAAATCTCCCGCATGAATTAAAATGAGATAATTACTGTGTTGAGTAAAGAAAATCATTATGCAGCCAAACACCTTTCAAAATTTTTGGAGGGGACATGGAATTGGATTTTACTGACGGATTCCTTTATTTAGTTTCAGCGGATAGCTTATTTAATGGGGTTTTGGGGTTTTGGGGTTTTGGGGTTTTGGGGTTTTGGGG